TCCCCTGTGTCCTCTGTGTCCCCTGTGTCCCCCGTGTTCCCCGGCTGTCGCTGAGCTGGAAGGGGCTGGGGGCGTTTCCATAATCTCGGGGAAGGTGCCGGGAGGGGGGGACGCTGCTCCCCGAACCCTTCGCTCCCCGGGAGGGGCTGGCAGGAGCCGGCCCCGCCCGCCCGGAGCTCCGAGGGACCCGCGGGGACCCCGGCCCGAGCAGCGGGACCGGGACACAGGAAAAAAACCCGAACAAAACAAATCCCCGGCGCCGGCCCCGCTCTCACTCCCCGCCCGTGCCCTCCAAACTCCCCCTTCCCCGAGCCCTCAGCATTTATGGATAATTGTGCATTTCTGCCAGCCCGGCGGTTATTTTAAATAAATGTTTGTGGGGCTGGAGAGAGATGGGAAAGGTTTTGCCCCTGCAGCCCCGACAGCGCCGAGGGAACCTCAGCCCGTCCCGGAGCCTCCCGAGCTCCTTTTCCTCAAACACCGGAGCCCTTTCCTCGGGCTGGGTGAAATATTTCCTGCCCCGGGACTTGAGTCCAGAACTGCCAAAATCTGCCCGGGCCACGGACACCAGCGGCTTCGGGAGGAGAGAAAATGAGGGGGTTGTCTCCTAAATAATTTTCTTTTCCGTGGATTTTCGTTTGGTGCGTTTTTAGTTGAAGGTCAAATGCGCAGAAAGCATCGCAGTGAGCGAACTCAGCGCCAGCCTGAATGGTTCCTCTCCCGAATTAATATTTAATTCATATTTAATTCATATTTCGCTTTTGCCAAGCGCTGGATTCGACAGAGGAATTTTCACTTTACCGACGCGGTTTTCCCTCGCCGCTCGATTCTAAATGGAACAAACGAAGAAGGAGAAAAAAAACCAGAAAACCCAAACCCAAACCTCAAATCGTTTCGATTCGCTGGCGAAGCAAACTGATAAAAAACTCCGCGAAAGTCAAGGATGCGCCTAAAATATTCCCATCACTTCCCCATCAGTCTCCGCCTTCCCGAGACAGCGAGGAAGAGGAAAAGGAGGAAGAGGAAAAGGACATTTATTTAAATTTTTTTTTTTTTAATTTTATTTAAAATCTCAACAGTGGATCACTTTTTTTTTTTTTTGCAACCAAACAAGTAATAAATATTATTTAGCAACTTTTTTTTTTCTTTTTCTTTTTTGTTTTTGGTTTTTTTTGTGTGTTTTTTTTACAAAAATAAACAGATGATAAAATCTCTGCGAGGGGCAGCGATAAGAAAAGTTGTTATTTCAGAAACAAGCCCAAGCTCTCAGTATTGCAACACGGACAGGGTGAAAGTTCCTACACAGAAAGAGCATTAAAGAGTTCAAACTTGGTTAAAGGTGGCAGGAACGTAAAAAAAATAATAACCAAAACAAACGTGTTATACGCTTAAAACAACCCAACAAACCCCAAAAACCCAAACCAACGAAATGAAGGCAAAGCGACCCCTTTTTCACTCATGAGGCTGACACAGAACAAGTGCACGGACGGAAAGCTCAGGCGGAGCGGACTCGCGTCCTTCTCGGTCTATTTACAAATCCCGGAGCCGAAAGAGCCCAAAGCCCCGGCGGGGAGAGCGGGGAACGGCCCCGGAATTCCCGACCCCGGAATTCCCGGCTGCGCTTCCCCCGGAGCTGCTGCCGGCCCCGGGAGCCCCGGGATGGCCTTTCCGGGGGGATGCGACCCGGGAAGGGCTCCGGAGGCTCTGCGCGTGGAAACGAGAGCGGGAGAGGGGAGGGAGAGAAGGGAGGAGCGGATGAAGGAGCCGAAGCCCCTGGGCGGGTTTGGTTCCTCCGTTCGCGGCCAGCCCGGGCACCGCCGCCCTCCCCTCCTCCGGAGCTCTCGGCAACGTCGCAAAATTAGAAATACAGGAGATGCGCGGGGCTTTTCTCGTGCGGGAGGGGTTCTCCCGGCGTTTGGGGGAGCAGGGCAGACCCCGAGCCGGGCTCCATCCCCTCCCGCAGCCCCTCGGGGGGGTGCCGCTGCCGCCGGGGGGGAGCGTTTGTAGGTCCTGGAGGCGCCGGGAGCGCGGCGGGGCCGCCCCGCCGAGGGGCTCATTTGGTGTCGGTGGCTAATCTGGGCAGGCTGGCCGTGCCCATGCCCGAGACGTGGTGGTGCGGCGGGGCCGACACCTGGCACATGCTGCAGGGGCACGGCATCCCCCCCCAGTGCTGGAAGCCGCTGCCCAGCGGGGCGGCGGCGGCGGCGGCCGAGGGCGACTTGAGGAGCCCGTGCGGGGGCCGGATGGAGCTGACGGCAGAGAGGCCGGAGCCGGGCAGGGAGGCGCTGGAGACGGCGGCGGGGGGCAGGATCGGGTGGTGCACGGGGTGCGAGGCCGGGTGAGCCGGGTGGCCGGGCAGCGGAGCCGAGTGCGCGCCCATGCCGCCGGGACAGGCGGCGGGGTGGAAACCGGCGTGGTGGCCGCCGTAGATCTCGCTGACCAGGCGCTTCATCTCCTCCAGGGAGTTGGTGAGCATGAGGATGTAGTTGCGCGCCAGGAGCAGCGTGGCGATCTTGGAGAGCTTGCGCACCGACGGGCCGTGCGCGTAGGGCATCACCTCCCGCAGCCCGTCCATGGCGATGTTCAGGTCGTGCATCCTCTTGCGCTCCCGGCTGTTGATCTTCAGCCGCAGCTGCTGCAGCTCCGGCTCCGTCATCTGCTTCTTGTCCTTCTTGGAGGAGGAAGAGGAGGACGAGGAGGAGGACGACGACGAGGACTTGAAGCCCAGCTTGTCCACCACCACCACCCCCGCAGCGCTCATGGCGCTGCGCAGCTCGGCGCTCAGCTCCGGCGGGGAGTCGCTCTGCGTGGAGCTGGACACGGTGCCGCCCGTGAAGCCCCCGCCGCTGCCTTTATTCCTGGCCGTGAGGAAGAGGTCATCGGGCTCCGGGGAGGACGGGCGGCTGGAAACCAGGCTGGCGTCCGAGTCCATGGCCCGGCGGGCGGGGCGGCGGCGCGCACCGGGCAGCCTGCGGGGAAGGGAGAGAGCCCGCGGGCGGCCCCGGGTCAGCGCCCGCCGCAGCTCTCCGGGGGCATCGCGCCCGCCCCGACGGCGAGCCCGCTCCTCCAGCCCCGGCTGGACCGGCCCCGCTGCCCGCCCTCCACTCGCCGGGGGGCGGCTCCCGTCCCATCCCATTCCATCCCGTCCCGTCCCGTCCCGTCCCGTCCCGTCCCGTCCCGTCCCGTCCCGTCCCGTCCCTCGCTCCGCCGGCCGGGCCGAGGCTCCGCGCGGGCGCGGGGGGCACTCACCGTGGCGAGCGGCGCGCCGGGACGGGCGAGCACGGCAGCAGCGCGCACCTTGCGGCGGAGCGGCGGCCGCTTTATAGCCGCGCCGGGGAGGAACGATGTCACCGGGCGGGAGGGGGGCTGCGCCAATCGGCGGCGGCGCCGGGGGCACGGCTGATGTCACCGGGGCCGCTCCGGCTCGATGGGGCGGGCGGGCGGGAGGGGGGCGCCGGCCGGAGCGGCGCGGGGAGCCCGGCGGGGG